TCATTCTTTGAAGTACCACCTCCTCCCTTTCTTTTCCTATATAACAGCAATGTAATCAAGTCATTGTGCATGTAGGGTAATTCAGCTAGAACATGAAACTTGAAGTTCAACTTACCTAGGTTCAACATCAAGTTCAGTAGGGGGGCCAGGAGAAGTAGAGGTTCCTGTAGCATTCTTCTTAGACTTTTTGGAAGCATTATTGCATTTTTGAAGTACCACATCCTCCCTTTCTTTTACTACAGAACAACAATGTAATCAAATCATTTTGCATGTGGGAAAAAAAGAAATTGATTCTGTGGTACAGATCTCATTTTATCCTTTGGAAGAAAATCTAGAACATAGACTGTCCTCCGAAAATCAAGCACTTCTTGTGGAGATTAAACCACAGTACACTTGCTGTTAGAAGAGTTTTGCAAAAGAGAGGGATGAAGCTTGATACAAGATGTTGCTTGTGTGGTAGATTAGATGAAGATGGGGGACATCTCGTACTTAAATGCAAGGAGGTGAAACCAGTTTGGCGTGAACTGAACATGGAAGATATCAGGTGCAGTCTTGCTGAAGCAGAGTATACAAATGGCAAATAATCACCATTACATCTACATAAGAACTTTCATGAACTTTAATCACCATGGGTAGCCAACAGCTAACACTAATATTTTAAAAACCAATCTGGAATGGCTCTGTAAAGCGAAGTAACCAACCAAGTTACAAGCTGGTCCATCGTGGGCAGCGGTAAGTGGTAGTAACACTGTACCCACTCTCGCAGAGACATCGGTTTGGATTTTTTTTCCCAAATAAATGAAACTAGTATACATCCTTATATGCTTCAAGGTCAAGATAAATTTGAAGAATATCAAGATAAAATTGTGACATGACTTGTTCAGTCACCCAAATAGCATCAGTTATACAACCTATTTTATTGGATTAGTGTGGCTTGACAAATGATTTTACAGTAATATTTTGGGGCATTTGTCATGCATATGGACTAACATACCTGCAATGCCCAAGGTATGACAAAACTGTATAAAAAAATGCAACCAATTGGCTAAGTCAGCAAATGATGTATATTAGTATCATAGTTTTCCTTTCCATTAATGCAAAGACATCTACTGCAACACTTTATATGCAATGCAAAAACTAAGTCATATTCAACGTTCTGCATCCAAATGTTAAAAACCATCAATTATTGGTTCAGTTTTTCGGAGGCATTGAGGCAATGTAGCACAAAGACTGAAAGACATATTCGAAAGAATATCTTATTACAAGTATAAACATGCCACAAGAAAAATGTTAGCATAGCAAGTCCAATCAACTCACTCATAAGGAATAGATTTGTGAAGAAGTTAGCGGCAACAGACTGCCCTGGCTGGCCTGCAGGTTCTCAGTTTTTGGCATGCTCAACAAGGTAAAAAACCTCTTTCTTTATTTACTTCTTTTCTGAAAAGCACTGACTGCTTGCCTAGGTTCAGCTAGAACATGAAACTTGAAGTTTAACTTACCTAGGTTCAACAGCAAGTTCAGTAGGGGGCTCAGAAGAAGTAGAGGTTCCTGTAGATGCCTTCTTAGATTTTTTAGGAGCTTTGGTGGAGTTTGAAGTACTTGGTTTTTCTTTCCTTTTCCTACATAATAGCAAGGTAATCAACAATTATACTCAGAAGGAATTGATATTGTACTAAGTGATAGGAGAATACAATTAATTTACCTAGATTTAGTTACATTCTTGCTGCTCTCTATTTTCTTCTTTTCTTGCTGCACTTTCTCATTGCTTCCTACTTCAGGTACCTTCCTGAAATACCTCCACTCTTCATCAACTCCAACTGGATCATCTCCCTCATGGTCAACACCCGGCTCCATATATTGGTCACCTTCCTCCTCCTCTTCTACTCTAGAAGGACCAGCAGCTGTAACACCAAGTTGAGGTTCCATGGCCCATTCTAGACCATCCAATTCTACACTCACATGCATCTCCTTCAATTTTTCTGTGACCTGAAGTTGTAAGTCATTCTCTTCATCTGTCACTTGTCTTTCATTCTCAATCAAAGCCATATCAACATACTCACATCTATCTACGGTCCTGATAAACTCCACCATTTTTTAGGCTCGTAGCAAAGTTAGAAGCTCTTGGTCCGTACCAAGGCGAATTGTTAGATTACTCTCACCCACAAACCAAAAGTTTGCCTCCTGATAACTAGCCCAACTAAAGTGCTTGAACACATCATTCTCCATATCAATGATGGAGTACTCTTCTGCATCCACCCACTAGTCCAAGCATCTACCCTTTTTGTACACAAATCGACCATCCTCAATAGTTGAGTAGGAAGAAACATCAATCACTACTCGACATGCATTGTTTGGATCGATCCTGAAATAGCAGTGCAAAAAAAATTAGCACTGCTTCCAGATGCCCTTTCTCATCGGTGACCATCCTCATACCACGTGAAATCGCACACACAAATCGGACTTCGTAACTAATTTCAGTTGTACTACGAACCATGAAGTAGATAACTAGGGTTTCATTCTTACCCGTCGGGGATCTCAGATCGATGCATTGTTCCACCGCATGCGCACTGGAGGAGGAGAAGTCACGGCCGGCGCAACACGCAGTCGAGGAGGAGGAGGTGGTGGACGGCGCAGGCAGCGCGGCCTCCGCGTGACGAGCGGCCCGCAGCGGACGGCGCGGCCTCCACATGGGGAGCGGCCTGCGCGCGAAGAGGAAGCCGCGGCGGCCGGCGTAGGAGGCCCTCGGAGCTCCCAGGCAGCCGGCGGACGGGCGGAGGCGGCGCGGCCTCCGCACGACGAGCGGCCTGCGGCAGACGGCGTAGGCGGCGCGGCCTCCGCGCGAGTACTAGCCCGCGGCGCACAACGCGGCCTCCACACGGGGAGCGACCTGCACGAGGAGAGGAAGCCACGGCGGCCGGCGCAGGAGGCCCTCGGAGCTCCCAGGCGGCCGGTGGACGGGCGGAGGCGGCGCTCCCAGGCAGAACCGAGCGCGGCGCGGCTGTCTCACTTGCGCGGCGCAGCTCCCGTATGAGGACATGGATGAGGATAAGGCAAGGGCAAAAATGTCACTTAACTTTTGGAGTCTAGGTCAAATTAACGCTCCTGAGTGTAAAACCTGACGGAGTGTTATTTTTAGTTTACGGTGACAACTTTCAGCGCTATTTTACGGGGCCAAACTCTTTCAGTGGTATTTTACGGAGGTCGCAACCTTTCGATGCTACAGAACCAATTTTCCCTTTATTCAAAATGAGACGGCGTGTTCAGCTATCCTGCCTGGCCTTAAATATCCTCTGTTCAACCAAATCAAGTTCCACCAGGCAAAGTCACATCATAAATTGTAAGAAAGGGTGGCCAGTTAGATTTCTTCCCTTGTACTCCATTGTAGTGAACAACAGACCATTTCATGATGTCAATTGTAATGCTGGGCAGAAAAGCCTGTCACAACTGTACTAGTAGAGCCATTCTTTTTTGACTTATGAGTAGCTTTTTTTTCTGGCAATCTCCTATTGCGATACTTAACTCTTAAGTGGATTGTACCCTGCCGTGTTTCCTTATTAACTGTTTGGTATGGATTATGGTCCAGTTTTACAAAGCTATTTTTCAGTTTCTTGGAAAAGCTTCTCCCTAGAAGTCCCTCAAAATGTGCTCTTAAATGTCCAGGAAACACTGGTAAGTGGTAAAGCTAAAAAATACTTCTCCCAGCTCCCTCTCTGCTACCAGGAACACTGATAAAGCTAAAAATTAGTCTCCTAGCTCCCTCTCTACCATCCTCCCGAGAAGCTGTTTTATCAAACGTTTTTCGAAAACAGCTTCAGCTCCATTGGTGAAGCTTCTCATGGAACCGGAAAAGAAAAAGAAAAAGAAAAAAACCCGCTAGCAAAACCAAAATAGTTGTATCAGTGCATTTATGCCATTGTTTGGGCATCAAAAGGAAACTAGCACACAACAATATGGTAAGGTTTATCGAATTTGCTGGTAAGGTTTTATGCTTTTGGTTACCAAGGACACTGGGGATTATTTTTGCAAAAGGAGGGACGTTTTAGTGGGGACAAAACTCTCTGGTTGCTATTGGTGTTTTTGGTTTGAAGTCATCATAGATTAGACGAACCATGTAAGGTCTTTCTTTCATGTCTACAGTAAACAAGTGCTTTTGATGTTGTGATGGATCCCCATTCCATCCCTCAAAAGTCAAAACTAAACAAGAAAAAAAATAAAAGATTACCATCCAACTCAGGCCAAGGTACCATTGGCAAAATTGTTAGTGAAATCCCTCTCAAGAAAATGAATAAATATTTTTTTTAACGAAACTGGAGGGTTTGCACCCCTACAAAGATTTATTAAAAAGAGGAAACACAGTACAGACTACAAAGTACAGAGTACAGAGTACAGAGTACAGAGAACAGGGAGTAAAATCAAGAAACAAAGAAAGAAAGGAAGAAAATAAGGCCAATCAGAAAGATTACAACAGATTTTGTATCCATAGATCAAAGGTGACTGAAACTTTAGTCTTTGCCCTCAAAGATAACAGGTTAATTCCTTTCTGAAGAATTCCTTAGCTGTTTGAAGGTTCGGCTGAACATTCCTGAATATGTAGTCGTTTCTTACTGTCCAGATCGTCCAGGTCATCAGGATAGCAACCATCATGAAGAAGACTGGGTGAGACTGATTCTTAATTTGCAAAATGCAGTCCTTGCAAAATGAAGAAGCATCTAACATAACTCTTGAATGATTACAACTTAAACATACCACAAAACTATCAAGAGGAATTAGTCAACCAATTTATCCTATATTCAGAAGAAACTCAACAGCAGCTGCTTTCTTGAAAACTGAAATATCCTATAGCAGTTGCAGAGTTGCTCACAGAACTTGTATGAACAAGAAGTATAACTTGCCAATATACCATACAACCCTAGAATATGCAGGGATCAGAATTCGACTTGCTATCATTCAAGCACCAAAGCTACTTCAGCCTGAACTAAAAATTACAGCACAGAGCAGCATCATATCTTCTGGTCACTATCCTCGGACTCATCATGCTGGTCTGTAGCACTGCCATTTGGTAAAGCACCTGCTCCTTTTCGGTTGACGTCGCTGAAGGGTCTCTTCCTTGATGAGGATGGTTCAAAAGCATCCACCTCCTTGCTCTTCACAACTTCATCAACAGCCATGTCATCTTTCTCTTGATGAGCACCAGCGGCTGAAAGCGGAGGTGGCATCATGTCAATTCCACTGAGCCGGCAGAAGACTTTCTCAACTGTTTCAGTTATCTCTTTCCCTAATCCACCATTGTCTAGAATCAGCTCCCAAACTGCCTTGGAGGCTTTCTCAAGGACTGGAGTCCTGCATTGCATAAAACAGTTAGCATTGCGAAGCTGGGAATGGAGTCAAAAACTGCAGAATGCAGGAGATGTAAATTTGGATTTTCCACAATATAAACAATACACCAGAACAAAGGAAGAACAAATAAAATCATGGGAACTATATCACTTCACTACTTTTTGAACAACCAGCAAAGGGCAACAATACGTAGGAAGATGACTTATCCTAGACCTGGAGATTTGTGTATGAGGTCAAGGCTACACATGTTTTTACTTGTTAGTAAAAACTGCTATAAGCATTTTATAACATCCAGATAAGCAATTTGTTGTTAAGGCCAAATAGAAACCAGGCAATGTACTGTTACTGAGCATAGATTCAAACAGAAAGACAGGAGCTTACTCCAGTTCCTGTCGAAGTGCATCAAATAACTCCCTCTTGGTCTTTTTCTCAGCTCCAGGAGTATTCAGTACCTTGCTTTGCTCCACCATCATCATAGTGTTTTTCTTCATATCTTCCTGAAATCAAAGTAAGAAAGTTCATCGACAAGTCTCCACTTCTCACTACTCTATTGGTCAGGTGAGTCTGACATAGAGTGATGCCAAGAGCATGATGAAGGGTACATGTAGCATAAGACAATGCAGAAATGATTTTATTCTACATCAACAAGAATATCCTGCCATATGCACATATGGAACCTTATGCTAATAAATAAGGAAAGAAGAACAGTTTTCCAAAACAGAATGACACCACTGAGGAAACAACATGTGCCAAGTGACGCCAAAGGAAAAATGAAACACCTAAATTCTTGTGCAAACAAATTCCTGATACATCACGTTGATATGGGGAAAAGTAGAACAGAACCAATGAGGAAACGGCATGTGACACCAAAGGGCAACTAAATACCCAAATTCTCGTGCATGTTGATATAAGAGAAGTACAGATTGAAACAGACGACGAAACATGTGCCAAGTGACAGCAAAGAACAACTAAATACCCTAACTCTCATGCAAACCAATTCCCTGTTTAACGGTCCCTTGGGACATGCACGATCGCCTCTGAACTGCAACAGCATTTAAATAATCTACTGAACTCTAACTTAATTTTAACGATTTAGTCAGACTTCCTGATTCCATCAATTACAGAAAGCGCACAACCTGGATAGCAAGTTCATTAATTCAGACCGTCCCAGGGTCGCATACTATGAGCATATCTCCTAAGCAGGTCTACCAACTTAAGCTGGAAGTGATTTCTTAACTGAATAATGTTTTTTAGAGGAACTGTATAATGTTTTTCTTTATCATACAACAAAAAACTAACATAATAGTAAGGAGGAGCCAAAATAAAGGTCTCAAAGGAATAGGAGGGGAATCGGGAGAGGAAGGGAAGCCTGCACGTACGTTGGCCTTGAGCTGGGCGATGATCTTCATGCGGAGCGCATCGATGCTGCCGTCGTTCTTCAGCGACTCCAGCACCTCCTCCGGCCGCACCACCTTCGAGGACGACCCCATAGCCTTCCACCTCCTTCACCCCCAAATCACCAACCGCAAAGCACCCACCTTGAAATTCCCAGACCAAGGGGCTTCAATCTCGTGGGGTGGAATCACTCTATACGCGGTGGCGTTCGCCGGAGATCCGAAGGGGCAGCGACGGGGGCTAGGGTTTGATTTCTCTCCGCGGGTGATAATTGAGAAGAGAGAGAAGAGCACGAGATAGTCACGTGCCCCCGTGAGCCCGATCGGCTGGGCTGGCAAGCCCCTCACATATACTATTCATATGAACCAGCCAGCGGTACTTCTTTCTCACATAAACGAATCAGTAACGATATGAACCAGCCAACCGAGATTTATTCTAACCTCATCCATTGATCCGTATGATTGGAACTGTTGGAATTGCACTCTGTACTTCATACACGCTCTACCTTGGGTGTTTCGTTGAGTGTATGCAACGGGTTGAGCGTGGATCAAAAGTTGCATATAGTAGGATAAAAAAAGACTAATGTTAGTCAAACCATTCAGAACAATGCATAGCTTGTAATGTGAATCCATTCCAGATTTTTATAGGATTATATTCCATTGTAACTAGCTGGGGTGGTTTCGTGTACCATCATGTATGTTATTTCTGATATTTAGAAGATATTTGCAAGCAACTCGTTTCATCCTTGATACATATACTGGAACTTCTAAATCTTGTTAGGCTAAGCTACAAACTCTTGATGTTCCATTCCTTCGCTGATGATGACATGTTAAGTGGTCGGTATTGGCTTCTGCATCAGTCATCGATGAAATGGATGTCAAAGGTGCTTGGATGGATCATCTGCCACACATTCAGGAAGCTTATTCCTCCAAGCACTCCTTCAATAGCACCAACCAATTATTCAGTAATCAGGCCATACCGAGTTGTGCACCTGTACCAGTATGTGTATGTAGAAAGTAGAAACTGTACCTTTCTGGAGATAAAGTTAAGAGCATGAGCATATCTCACATCCATGCTGCGCGCCCTAGCAGCTTCGTCTCTCAGGATGGAATATATGGCAGATATTGCATCAAGGCCAGACTGCTGGCGGTCATCTGAGTATAACGAGTACTTGGACATATGCATCAGTCGCAGTGCTTCATCGACATCACTCTGAGCCACAGTTTCTGAAAACCTAAGTCTTGCCAAGGCCTGAAATAGGCAAGCAGCATCATGTTTAAAGAGATATTTTCATATGGTATTGTGAAGGGAAAACAGTCAAGTTACTTACAATAGAAATACGGAGTATGCTCAAAAGTGTCCTGATAGTTGTGTAGGAGGTTGGTGCATTTGACTTGCCTCCTCTTGACGGATGCTGGAATATGCAGTTGCAATGTATTCCTCGAGCTCTCTAGGAACAGAAGGAATGCTCTGTGAATGAACAGATAAAAATTGTAGACTAGCAAGTATTAGATAATGCAAAGATACTACACAATGATTTTATCTGTATTTCAGGTTTTATAGTTTCTGGAACTTCCAACTAAAATATGAGCAATTCAACTATGAAATTGAAATTAAGTGAACATGAGCACTGCCACTCGAGGACTAGTGTCCTTGCCTGAGTACAGATGGCTCAAGTGGTGTGAACCCCAGCGCTGGTGATTCTAGATTTTGATGCACATGAACAACGTGTCTTGCCATTTCAAGATCAGTTTCTATGTCTGCACGATCCAGGATCAACCAGAGATCGAAACGAGACAGAAGTGCTGGAGGTAGATTTATATTTTCTGCTGGAGTCCTCCTCAGTCCTCATATCGTACCTGCCCCTGAATGGTTAAAGGCAATTGCCATTGTCAACTGATGAGATTTTCTTTTTATCCCTTAGAAAAAAAAATATATTCATATCAAAACTTACCAGGCTGGATTTGCAGCAGCCAGAATTGCGGTTCTCGCATTAAGAGAGGCGGTGATTGCAGCCTTGGCAATGCTAAACTTTCAACTTCTTCAGGCGACTAAAATCAATATAGACAGCAAATGTGAACTATGAAGCAATGTCCATTATGAAAAGATGAACCCTGAAGCAATAGGATGCTCCTAAAAGATTAGACAGTTCCTCCTGTAGTCTCTTTCAACTATAATTCCATCATATTTTCTGCCAATTTGAACTCAAGGTGACAATGATAAGCCCATATATACGGATACTCCTCACTTTGAGTAGTCGGCCGCCTCTTAAATTAATCCACAGCCATTTATTCAAAATGAGATGGCGTGCACAGCAATCCTGCAGGGCCTTAAACATCCTCTCAGTTCAACAAAATCCGGTTCCACCAGGCAAAGTCACATCATAAATTGTAAGGAATGGTGGCCAGTTAGATTTCTTCCCTTGTATGTATCAATGATGAAACCACTTGCTTGCAAATGTCTTCTGAATATCAGAAATAACATACATGATGGTACACGAAACCACCCCAGCTAGTTACATTGGAATATAATCTTATAAAAATATGGGCTATGCGTTGTTCTGAATGATGTGATTAACATTAGTCTTTTTTATCTTACTACTATATGCCACACTTTTAAGGACATGTACAACAATGATATGATTAACATAAAGTCCCAACGAAGTACGTCGGGCTCATTAAGGACATGTACAACAATGTTGTGACTAGAGTTCGAACAAGTGATGGAGACACGGATGACTTCCCGATTAGGATAGGACTACATCAAGGGTCAGCTTTGAGCCCTTATTTGTTTGCTTTAGTGATGGATGAGGTCACAAGGGACATCCAAGGGGACATCCCTTGGTGTATGCTTTTCGCGGACGATGTAGTGCTAGTTGATGAAAGCCGGACAGGAGTGAATCAGAAACTGGAGTTATGGCGGGAGACTTTGGAGTCCAAAGGTTTTAGACTTAGTAGAACTAAAACTGACTATATGAGATGTGACTTCGGCACTACTACTCGGGAGGAGGAAGATGTTAGTTTGGAAGGTCAAGTAGTGCCTAGGATGGATACCTTTCGATATTTAGGATTAATGCTACAGAGAGACGGAGATATTGATGAAGATGTTAGCCATAGAATCAAAGCAGGGTGGATGAAGTGGCGGCAAGCGTCTGGTGTCCTATGTGACAAAAGGGTACCCTGAAGCTAAAAGGCAAGTTTTTTATAGGACGGCGATTAGACACGCTATGTTGTATGGTGTGCAGAATGTGGCCCTCTGAAAAGGCGACATATTCAACGGCTAAGTGTCGCGGAAATACGCGTATGTTGCGTTGGATTTGCGGGCATACAAGAAGGGATCGAGTTCGAACGATGATATACGTGAGAGATTAGGGTAGCGCCTAATTGAAGAAAAGCTTGTCCAACACCGGTTGAGATGGTTTGGACATGTGCAACGGAGACCTTCAGATGCACCGGTGCGTAGTGGAATCCTAAGTCAGGATAGTAACGTGAAGAGAGGCAGAGGAAGACCGAAGTTGACTTGGGTAGAGACAATAAAAGGAGACTTAAAAGGATGGAATATATCTAAAGACTTAGCCTTAGATAGGAATGCTTGGAAGACAGCTATTCACGTGCCTGAACCTTGATTGTTTCTGTTGGGTTTCAACTCTAGCCTACCCCAACTTGTTTGGGACTTAAAGGCTTTTTGTTGTTGTTGTTGTACTATATGCCACACTTTTGATCCACGCTCAACTCGTTGAATACACTCAACAAAACGCCCAAGGGGGAACGTCTCTGTAGTACAAACTGAAATCCCAACAGCTCCAATCATACGGATCAGTGGATGAGGTTAGACTGATCTTTTAGGGGTACCAATTTCCTCTTTTCTGGTTTGTTTCGAATTTCAACATAACAACTGAGGATACAAGGCCAGACAAAAGTACAATAGCATTTTTTTTCTTTAGACTACATACAAGTCATGGTATCCTAGATTTTCCCACCGAAGACGGGAACTATCTTCTAGAGAACTTTGACAAGAGGTAGACAACGAAGAAGCAAAACAGTGCAAAGAGGACAACATGGAGAACATGGTTTGAGCCCTGCTGGATGATGCTCTTGTTCAACCTCCGCATGTTGTTCTTCACTCCAGCCTGAGCTTTTGCAAGGGTCATTTGCTGTACATGCACAAGCAATAACCAAAGTCAGCATAACTCCGATATAGATTGTCAAAGAGCATAGCAAAGATTAACTGTTTCTGAAGATAATAATATTGCTGTTGTATTACTCAAAGATGACATAGGCTTTACGAATATAGGATGCAACACATAAATCCAGAAATTAACAGTTTGCTAGTGTTTGTCTAAGGGGACTTCAAGGCCATACAAAGTACCTGACCTGTACAGCATATTAAATTCAGAAAAGGCTGAAACAAATACTTAGTCCTTTGATATGTAGACAAAAATTTAGAATACAAAGAGTGAAAAAAGTTCTGGCAAGTACCAGTTCATGAAGAAAATCATTCTGGAACCTGGCTTCAGAATTTATCTCCTGGGCCACCTGGAGAAACAGTTGATCAAACACCAAAAGTCAAACTTACCTTCCAAAAAAGAACAAATTCTTTGACTAGTAGCTAACTACAAATAGTATAAAGATCAGATTGTATGTGTAACTGTAGCAAGAATGAACAATCATTATCTTAAGGCATTTTTGTTAACTTGTTCAAACATTTGATATAGATCCTATAAGCAATACATTTGAAATATTAATAAGGTTGGTTCTACAAGAATGCAAATAACTGGTCTTCAACAAATCCAACATGTGAGAGAGCTTGCAACAGTAAGGCCTCAAACAGTACGAAGCCACTGGCACAATACGGTTTAATGAAATCATTGAGACTTCGGGCCTGTTCGCTGGTTGGTGCTGGTGCTGGTTTGGGCTGGCTGGTGCTGGTTTTGTGTGAGAGGAAAACACTGTTGGCCGGCTGCTTTGGGCTGGCTGAAACCAACAAGCGAACAGGCCGTTCATTATAGTAGTGTCGGTGTTTCAAGTTACTACCGACGAGTAAATTTCTAGTATTACGCGTCTGGCTCGGATGGTGTGCTAAGAGGACACGAGGTTTATACTGGTTCGGGCAGAATGTCCCTACGTCAAGTTCGTTGCTGCTGCTCGTGTTACTAGCACTAAAAGTTCATAGCAGAGGTTACAAACGGGCGAGAGAGGGATAAGTCCCAAGTCTCTGGTGTAAAGAGTGAACGGGTGCCGAGAGCTCGGTCGCTGCTCAGCCGTGTGTTCGGGGTTCGATGGGTTTGTTCGGATCTGGCTTGAATCGACCCGATGGATTCGTGATAGTTCGATCGTTCGATCCCCCTAATGGGGCGCCCTGCTTTCCCTTTTATAGGCCAAGAGAAAGCACAGGTTACAGCGGAGGAAAGGAGAAGAACGAGAGGGAGAAGAAGTCCTTTAGGATCGCCGGGTCCTTCTTATCCTTCATGCGGGTCCCACCGACCCTGTAGATGTCAACAGGGACGGCTCCATGTCGTGGCCCTGTCCGCCACTGGCGCCAGGCGTCGTCTGCCGGTCATGGCGCTCCACTCCGTCCTAGCAGACGTCATGGTGAACGGACACGCCTGTCAGTGTTCATACGAGGGTTAGGCAGAACAGCACTAGTACGCCCAACGCTGTTCCGGATGTGAATCCTCGGGTATGGCCCGTCGTGGCCGCGGGTTACATCGAGGCGTGCCGGTCGCCTCCCTAATGTCAGAGCTTTGACCCAGACCCATACACTTGGACCTGGAGTGGTTTGCGGCGACACGGGTCTCCGTCGGGCGAGGCGGAGCCCGCGGCCTCGGGGTCGGGCGAGGCGGAGCCCTCCCCTAGAGGCTGGGCGAGGCGGAGCACGAACTCAAGGGCCGGGCGAGGCGGAGCCCGCAGCCTTGGGGTCGGGCGAGACGGAGCCCTCCCTCAACAGCCGGGCGAGACGGAGCGCAAACCCAAGGGTCGGGCGAGGCGGAGCCCGCGACCTTGGGGTCGGGCGAGGAGGAACCCTCCCCCAAAGGCCGAGCGAGGCGGAGCCCACGCGTCCGGGGGTCGGTTGGAGCTATAGTCGCGCTCTTGACTGCTCGGATGAATCAATGTTGATGATCATTAGCTCCTCCTCTTCGGGTATCCTAGTATTGGTCCCCGACAAGTAGATTAAACAAAGTAGAAATCAACAAGGACAGAAGCAATGGATAAACCAAGAGGACCCAGCATTTCTGATGTACTGATGAAAACTTACAACAATGCGGCACCAACTGAGCCATATGTATGTTGATTGACTGTTAACAAAAAGATTCAAACTTCAAAGTAGATCAAACAACCTTGACTCACTAAATAATATATTGCCTTTGCAAATAGACCAGATGACATCAGTTATGGAAATTTTGCACACAATTTACTCTGATAAGACGCAATCTTTTTTCTTATTCCCATAAGAATTGAACTATCCCCTGTACAATTCCCTTCATATCCTTGTGTTGCAGACAGCCTAGATGTAGCAGTATAAGGAACTGGTTTTAGAAGGCTTGCTAGCACCTCACATGAAACCAACATGACTGTCTCTTATTCCCACCTGACATTCTAATTCAAGTTCCATCCACTCACAGTTCATGTAGGTTTAAAGATGACAGAACCAGTTTAGCTGAACTGTGCACCACCACAAAGTGTTAAATCACAAATCGGATAACATTTAAAGCAGAATCGAGCAATTCAATTAGGTTTGAAGACAATGGAACCAGCTTTAGCCGAACTAGCAAGCTGCACCACCACCAGGCACTAAATCGCGAATCGGGTTACATGTGAAATCAGAAACAAGCAACTATGAAATATATATTACATCATCCCATAAAAAATCTACAACGTGCGTACCAACCA